AAAATGCTCCATGATTTATTTTGAAATTCTTTGATTTGGTTTAGTTAGGTTCATCATATGATGATGAGACCTAGCTAAATCAAATCTATGAAAAATTAGGAGCAAAATGAGTCTAATATGCAAAATTTTGCCTAGGCCCAGTTCTGACCCAATTACTAGTCACACCCTCAAGCATTGCTAAATGTCACCCCTTTTTCCCTACTGAAAAAATACAAAATGAATGTATCAACTAGGGAGGTTAAATAGAGTTAAACTCTCCAAGTAACCTACCTTAAAATCAATATACAAACACTAATAAAAGCAAGTAAAGTGCCTCACAAATACAAAGGCAAAAATAAGCCTATACAAAGAAACTACTATATGTACAAACATATGAAAAAGGTCTTTAAGATCATCCCATTCTTTTTGGTTCTTTTAAGATATCACCTCTTGGATTTCTTGGCCTTGGCCATAGTCTATCAGTATAGGTCGACCTGACCCCTATACCGTGGTTGCTTTGTCATCGGTATAGCTCGACCTTGCCCCTATACCGTGGTCGCTTTATAATCGGTATAGCTCGACCTTACCCCTATACCATGGTCACTTTATACACGTGTTCCTCGACCTTGTCCACACACGGGATCAACTAAGTCCTAGAAGAGAACAACACAACAATCACTCCAAGGGACAACTTCCCAAGGAGGGTTTTTCAACAAATTGGGCTCTCAGAGCACCACAACTATCTCAATCCACACAATGGGATGAGCAACTTCGAAAACATCTCCCCTAGTCCTAGTGATCAACAACTTATCATCACAGCTTAATCAGCTTACAAATCAACAACATAGATCAGCTTAACAACTTATACAACACACAACTTTTCAACTCATAATCTAAATCAACTTTCAACTTGAACAACACAATCAACTCACAACTTTAACAACACAGTTTATCAGCACAACAACTCGTCAACACTATTCAACAACACATTTTAACCACACAACATTTTATTTCAACTTTAAACAACACAATCAACTCAACAGCTTATTAGCTCAACTCATAATTTACAACTCAATTATCCTAAGATAATATCTTTTCAACAGATGGCACAACATACAACTTTTTAGCAACATACAACTTTCCTCTAACAACTTGACAACACAGTCTACTAATAACATCTCATCATACTTCACAACATAAACATGTCCACACATATAGCAACCTTATCAACTTAACTTCAACTAGCTTCAACAATATCATAGATCAACACACAACTTGTAAACAATTTCACAACTTAACTACAACATGCATCTCATTTTCATCATGAAAGCATCACCAACAACATCATTAATAAATTTTTAATCATATGTTAACAACACACAATATTTTCATCACATAACAAGATCGGAATCAAAATACACGACGTAAAACACCCTTTGTGTACTAGTGGTGTTCCGGAACTTCGAGATCCTTCACGAGCTTCTCAACGTGGAAATTACTGAGAGGAGATTTTGGAGTTGGAATTTGGTCAACCCCGTTTGCTTCGTTGGCTGAACACCAAGCTTGGATTAGCCTCCGAAGAGTGTGGTTTGGGGTTAAGAACTCTGAGTTTCTTGGCAATGGTTGTTTTGTAATGGGACACGTGCAATCTTTAGCCTTTAGCAACCACTGTTCGATGCTTTCTCTTTCGTATGTTATGCCCGTAACGGTTGTCACGGGGTCCTTCATGATCTGAAGCGAAATGGGACAAGCGAAAAACTGAGGAATTTCAATTTCTGTCATGTTGTATCAGATGCATACACACAGCATAAGCTATATATATGGTGTATCTGTTTTTTTCTTATATGGTGGTGTTTCAAAAGAGAAAAAGACAACTAAAGGGTTTGCTTTTGTTTTTGGTAAGAGAAATCGGCTCTATAGATATCGATCAAGTTAGGAAAGATTATCAATATAATATAAATGTTTTAGTATGTGTTGGCGTCTTGGCGATAAAGCAGAAGACAAATTTTTTTTTGATGATTATGTTGTAAAGTTATTATATTTATACATGCTTGATAAGTTTATTCTAAATACTTGAAAATTTTCATCGGTGAGTTGGATGGTCAAACCTAGCAGCAATCGTTTGAAATACAAACTTGTGGTATTTGAATTTTTGACGAATGAACTTTCTGGATCTTCTTCTCAGGGAATTATTAGGTGGCCACCATTTTTTGTGTAATTTTATTTTCAACCACGTTTCTTTTTAATGACTGAATCCTAAATGTTGCCCATTAGAGTTAATTATATCAGTTCCAGTCATACCAACAATTTTATAATTATATATTACTTTATATACATAATCAAATTATTAACTTTATTATATGAATTAAAATTTTAAATATTTTATATATAAAAAAATTGCTAAAATTATAGTCACTTAAAGACATGTTTCTTTTCCATGAATATTTTTAAGGATAGAAAGTTAGATAAAAAATAAAATAAACTTTTTATAGGTTAAAATAATTAATACATAAGTCAATTTGTAAAAGTTCTCTCTTATATTTTTTTAAAAAAATCTAATTTTCAATTTATAAAAAACTTTATTTCAATTTTTGTTTTTAATTTTTTTCCCCTAAAAAATACTTGCTACATAGAAATCAACTTGGTGGCCACTTGTTCACGTCGGCGGCTGATATATACTGCAGCTTTGATGAGTTGAGTGATGTTCATAATTTTCGAAGGACAGAAGAGATCTAGAGAGAAAGAGAAAGACAAAAGACAAAGACAACGACAAACTAAGTTTCAAACTTTGTGATGCTCACGTAGGAGTGTATACAATGAACAACCTTTTAATTTATGAAATTTTTTACTTCATTCTATATATATATTTATTTCATCTGGACCCAACTTCCAGAGTGAGCTGGAAGGCCGGCTTGCAACTAACACTAGTGCGCTGAATTTTCAAAGATGCAAAAAGGATACTTGGTTTTGAATTCAACCTTAATTACGTTAGCACGACTCTTTATCTTCAAAACTATATCATTTAATTCTTTCTTTATTTCATCTTTAATACATGATTTTAATATAAATTATCATCTGATAGACAAGTCATTGTTAAATATAAAATATTGTAATTATAAATTATAATTATTTTTAAATTTTATCTTAATTTTAATATATGTATTGGAATCAATGACTCATTATTTTTTTCTTTTATATTTTACATTATTTTAACATAGAATAATGTCTATTTAGCCCTTCACCAATGTTTGTAGGAAGAAAAAAAATTATATTCTTTAACAATCTCATATGAAAAATGACCAAACATATTGATTAATATATTAATTATTCTAAGTTAACAATGAATAGTCTCAAGTTCAAATATGTAACGTTGTTAAATATTGAAGTGAAACTTCTATTATCCATAAAAATCTTATCCGATTTAAAGATGATTATTTCATCTGAAGGTTGTGATCTAAAAAAATTTACAAATAAAAAATAAGATGAAATCAGAAATATTTATTATATATAATTAAAAGCTATAATAAATTATAAATAAATAAATAATATATTTTAATATAAATTATATTTTAAAAAATTATAAATGAAAATTTTAAAATTAATTTATATTTTAAATTTATGATAAATAATTTATACTGCGACATGAGGTTATTTTAATTATTAATAATTTATTTTAAAATATTTAAAAATTAATGTGTATATAAAATAATAAATTAAATTAAATTAAAAGTTAAATAATTTAAAAGTCTCATTAAAAGAATACCTAAAATTTTTTGATTAAAAAGAAACCTCTAAAAAAAATTTCACATTAAATAACGATTGTGTTTAATATATAAGTGAATAGAAAGAGCTTTTTATGGATATATGCAAGTATAACCCGAAAACAAATTCTAAATTTACAGTTCCAATATTCAATGATCGATCTTGCCCAACGCCCAAAATAAAGTTCCGAAAGCCCATCAAGAATAATGTTGGACTATACTCTTACATCGATTGATGGGCCATGACAGCCACCTAGTCCAGCAGTTACGAACTTACACCCACCCAACTATACACGATGATGGATGCATCTGTATGAACTGTTCCATTCTTTGTCATATTTTATTTGAGCCCATTTTTGCTCATTCATTTCCATTATGATGTAATCGATTGTAGAAAAAAAAAGGCTTTATATTATAAAATGCATATATCACTCGACAGTCATAATATCTATATACATATTTCTCTGTTGTATATTATACGTAAAAATAACTAATTTTATATATATTAAAAGTTATTAAATTTTTAATTTTTATAAGATTTTAATTTTTTTTATTATAAATGTCAAAATAAATTGTATATATAAAAGGTGATGTAAAAAGGAGAGATATTTCACAGAAAATATTATTATTATTATTATTATATATATATATTCATATAAATTTATAAAGAAGAATTTGTTTATTTTATGAATAAGTCTATCTAAACCTACTTTGTTCAATAACTCATGTTCTATATTAATGATTTAACCGTTAAATTAAAATTTTATAAAATATAAATCAAGTCTGCAGTTTTTTTTTTAAATTTAAAAATTATTTAATATTTCGTTTCATTAATTCAAATCAATATATAAAATCTTTTTATGATTATCTATCAATTTGAATTAATGAAACGAAATATCAAATAATGTTCAAATTTTTTAAAAATTTGCAGACTTGATGTATTAAAAACTTTAAATTTAACGATTAAATTGTTGAAGTTTGATATAGAACATAAGTTATTGAACGAAATTAGTAAACTTACTCTTAGAGTTCTTATAATAAAAAAAACGTATTTGTCGAATCTTCATAATTACAATGATGTAGCGACTGATTTAGCATATAAAAAATAAATTTGCAATTGCATGCACTTTTAGTTTGGTAAGTTATAACAATCAATAATCCAACGAAACAATATTCAGCATTTGATAGTTAAGAGCGACTATCAACTATCAAAGTATCTCCCCTCTTATGGATTGCCTAGGTTGAATTTGTTTGTCCACTTTCAATGAATCAGAAAAAAAAAACAGTATTTTGATAGTGATACGCTTTCTTAATTAAAGAACAAAATTATTAAACAATTTGTATTAATAACTTTTGATTCAATACCATAATTTAAACATAAAAGACCATAACTACTAAATCTAAATGGACAGTTAAAAAGCAGGAAATATATAGCAGAATAAAAAATTCTATTTTGTGCTCAAAATATATTATAGTAATAATAAGAAGAAGAAAAATTATATACGTAGATATCAATTATTGAAACATCAAACATTTCTTCATTCGTGTAAAGAGTTTATATATTTTTATATTGATTAGTTTTAATATAAAAATAATTTATACATTTAAAGATAATAAAAAACTATCCTAGAGTTAATTTACTAGCTAGTAATAAATGAAAATGATGATATAAAGAAATAAAAAATGTTTTTATTTTATTTTATAAATAATGCATATAATAAAGATATGATTAAGCACTTCAAAATTTTAAACACCTTATCATCACTTCGGAATTTTTTCCCCCACTTATCCTATTACATCATATATTAATTAGTTTTTTCGGACACCCGTACAAAAATGACTAAGAAATAGTGAGAAAAGAGCAGAAATATGTTGATATAAATATTTTTAATGGTTTGTTTAAGGAGAAATGTGTTAGATGAGAAATTTACAGACATGAGACTTATAGCTATAATTTTTTTTATATATAAAAACAAGCAAAAAAAACTTTAAAAAATGAGATTATTTTATTCGAATATGGTAGGATGACAATTATTTTATTCAAATATGGTGCATTTATTTGAATAGTCACATATTTTAATGAATGATTTGATTTTATTGAAATAGTTACATATTTTATTTGAATAAATTGTGTTTTATTCGAATAGATTGGTATGTTTATTTAAGATATTATTGTTTTATTTGTATAGTTGGATATTTTATTCGAATGATTTCATTTTATTAATTTATTATTCAAATACACTTTGTTCTTAAGCATTAATTAAAAAGGACTATATATATGTTTATTAATTAAAAAGGACTATATATATGTACATTAGTCTATTAATTTAAAAATATCAAATAATTAATTATGTCTTAGAAAAGATATAATAAATATATAAAAAATTAATTCAAATTCAAATTCATTATATCGTTAAGGTCAGAAAAACTCGCAAAGAATTTGTACTCATTTCTGCTAAGTTATTGTTATACCAAAAATAATAAAAATAACAAGAATCTTAAAAATTAAATTATACATTAAGTAAATAGTATAATTTTAATGTTATATATTATATAACTATTATAGTAATTTATTTATAATTTGTATTTTTAAATATATGCACAGTAGGTAAAATTATAATTTTTAATTACTTATAATTTCTTTTCTTTCTTCCATTCAAACCAAACAATTTTATGATATTATTTTTTTCTATTATTTATTTATTTTTCTCTTTTTTATTTCTCTCCTCTCTATTTCTCACATTTTTTTTCCTCACTATAAAACACAAAAAGTTAGAAGAGAAAGTGTACCAAGTTAAAAGTACATTATGCAGCTGGGGTATGAGCTAATCACAACAAAGAAGGGTTGTTATACAGTGGGACCTGCATGGAGCCCGCTTCGTTCTTGTGTGAGCATCAGAGCCAGCCTTTTTACTTTTCTTCCCAGACCCTAGTATACACTACTAAGGCATGTTATATATCATATGAAAAAGCAAGGGGTGCCCACTGCCCAAAAGAAATTAAGCATAGAGTTTTTTTAAATACAAATTTAAAAATATTTTTGATAATTTTTCTACAATTTTATTGTATCTTTAATAGAAGAACTCTTATAAATTTAACCCAAACAGACTCATAGTTATATGGACTATAGAGTTTAACGAGAGCTATAAGAGGTTTGGACTTTAGACTAAGCTACGTAGTAGTGGCGGATCTTACAAAAGAAATTGAAATTTGCCATTGAGTTCACTTTCTGGCTTTTCAATATTGTATAGAAAATATATGTGAACAAAAGTAGTAGGGCTTTTCAATTGTAGCCTTAAACTCCTCCCAATTCATTAGCATTAAGAAAGAAAGCAGATGAATATAGAAAACAGGATAATCATACGTTACTACGTATATATTGTACCATTATTTGCCGCCAAGGATAGTTTTATATATAAAATTCATTATCAGACGCTAAACTCTAATGGAGAGGAGTTTAGAAAGGAAAAGAAGCCAAACATCTTATCAGCTTTCCTTTGTCCTTCTTATTATAAGAAGAAAACATTTGATCTAGCAAAATCGGTTAAAGGGAAGGGACCGGATTAATTAACACATAAAATTGGAGCTTTACTTTTGCATGCATGCAATATATATAGTGCTATCACTGCTATGTGAATGCTTAGGTAAGTAATGAACTGGAAAAGAAAGAGAGAGAAATATGAAATTAAACGTGTCTAGCATGAAGAAGTAAAATAAAAATAAAAAATTGTAAAAATAATACTTCTTGTACTGAAATCTATAATTCACTCAATTATCTTACTCTATAACTGTATGAATGAAAGCGTCCAAATATTACGCACTTCCATATATTCCCTCTCATGCATGTCTTCCACGATTTTCCACTTTCACCCACTAGTTATATCAAAGGCAAATGCAAATGCAAATGCACATGAAACAAAAATTACATGGAGGAATAATTAATTTAGCAAAACAATGCTTATTCTTCTATACCCAAATAACTCTCAAGATCGAAATCATTCAAATCCTAGTACGTAACTGGCTACATCCAACACCATATACAATATATATACCCTCCCCAACATTATAAATCCTATAATTATTAAGCTAACTTAAATTTCTGCAAGTATAATCCTATACTACTATCCAATCTTTACATGCAGGAATTTCAGTATACCAGAATAATGACGGTACAATTCATGACTAGTGACTTTGTATGTGAAAACAACATATATATATACCTCTCGATTTCTTTTCTTGGGTAGCTAGCCAAGTCTTCTGCCAAGTTAATTAGCGTGTTTAGAGAAACACTCATAACTCTAAGATCATTTTTCTCATAAACTATCGAATATTTTTGCTAGCTAGCTAGATAGACATCAGTTCTTAGGCCACGAAATCTGGCAATAACTGAGCAACAAACCTCTTTCTGTTTTGAATGTCAATGCTCTCATAAGTGGTACCAGAGTGAGAAGAAGGTGGTGGAGTAGTGTTGATAGCACAAAACTCATTTCCATTCGTTCCCATCTCAAGCCTCCTTCCCAAAGGAATATTATTCTGCGAGAGAAATCCATGTTGAGTTCCTGAGATAGAGAGGTTCTCATCGTGTGGAAGTCCTAGTGTGAGTGAAACACCATTTCCATGTAACCTTGAAGCTAGTTGCTCAGTAGTGACATTGAATCTGCTTCCAATGTCGTCCATGGTGAAGGCTCCAAAACCACCACCATTGTTTGCATTGCCATTCATCAAAGGGTATCCATCTTTGTTGTGCCTTTCAATGCCGAACCTTGTGTTGGATTCTCTAGTATTTGCATGATCTCCATGCTTCATTTCCATGTCCACCGAAAGAATACTACTTGGAGAGTTTTGCAATATTTCTGAACTTCTTGGTTTGTTTGGACTTCTTTGCATGTCAGAACATCCTGCAAGATGGAAACCAGAGTGGGATTGAAGGGATCCTCCCACGGAAGAGTTTGTTGAGAACTCGGTTGGAGAAGTGTTTTGGTTGTTGAAGCTTTCTTGCTTTGATTGGAGATGATCGAGTTTAATGGCACTAGATTCTGGTGCAACATTTGCGTTTGAACCCATCTCTTTGTTCGATTCTTTTGATCTGGTGTTTTCTGAACCATTTGTTTGTTCATGATCCTTTATTTCTTCCAAGTACATTTCTTCAACCATTGGCTTCCACAGCCGAACTCGGGCATTAATGAACCAGTTTGAGACCTGCATTAAGCTTGAGAATATCAGAAACATATCACATTGCCACGAGCGCTGATTTTAGTTCATGTTACCGAACCACTTAATGGATGAACCAAGGAGAAGAAGGAGAAAGGAAAATGTTTCTTGAATACAAAATTGGGACAATAATATATTGTTCCTTTGATTTTTATGATGATTTTTTGAAATATTTATATACCAGAGAGATAAAATAAAAAAAAGGGAGAAATAATAATAATCGTGTATCGTATCATATATACAGTTTTAATTTTTGTCTATGTTCAAATAATGAAACTCGGGAGAAAGTACGGATTTTTTGTTTTGGTACGTTGTGGTAGGAAAAATCAAAGACCATAGGTGAATTTTGGTAAAAAGAAGAAAGAGATTATAAGGTAAAAAAAGGTATAAAGAAAAAGTGAAAAATGTAATAAGAGAAAAAAAAAAGATAAAGAGAAATGAGATCTATATATGTTTGTAATTATTCCCTTCTCGTCTTCTTCCCATTGGACTATGAGGTATATGAAATTCTTGGTTTAATCATACACAAAAAATGTCTGCATTCTTGTCTTAGTTTATTTATATTTCTTAAAGTAAATGTTTGGCCAGCTTCCTCAAAAACTTTTGAAGAAAAATAAATTATTTCTAAAAAAAAAATTGCATACAAAACATGAATTAAATATGTATTTGTCTTTTCTCAAAATTTAATTTGCATCTTCCTTAATGGTAGATATGTATGTGGTTTGATGAAACATACCTGGCTCCTAGCAAGTCCAGTTTGTTTAGCAAGCATAACTTTATCCGAGTCCTTTGGATAGCTGCATGCCACAATTAGAAACACTAGTAAGTTGATAGCAAGTATATACATATACATTAATTCCACCTAAATTAAAGTAATTAAATGAAACAAAAATTTTAAGGTTAATTGACCCTAGAAGTTTGCTACATACGGGTGAAGGAAATGCTCAAAAAGCCAAGCACGAAGAATGGAAACAGCTCGTTCAGGCAAGCCTCTCTGTGGCCTCCATGCATTGGGCTGAATCATTCCAAGCTGTTGCAGTGCCCTTTGTTGGCGAAGATGGTGATCAACAAACCTAAGCCTCGACCCTTCCACTTTAACTCCTAAGCAATCATCTTCACCCAATGTCTTACTCGTTGCTTTTATTTGTGCAGAGATTGCATCTTTAAGGCATCGGAATTGCTTCGAGATAGTCTTTAGGGCAAGAGCAGTGTAACACTTTGCCGCCCCATAACCCGCTGCCTGCTCAAATGATGATACTACAATTTGCATTTGGTGGTGATACTGCCTGTACCTTTGTTCCACCTGCAATTAAAAAAATTTAATTACAATCGAATATCATCTTTTTTTTTATTAACATGTTGATATAGAATATTCATGTCAATGAATTTTAAGTATTTATTTCATAATTGATCTCTTTTAATGAATTTCCTATATAACAACATTTTTTTATCAACAAAACTTTAAATTCGAAAGTTTGTTTAAAGAAATTAAGTATAATATGACTCATAAATTGTTTACAAATGAATATATAAATAAAAATAAATGTGATTTGTGTCTAATTATATAAAGGGCAAAATTTATGTATATTAATAGAAGTCTGGTTAGTGTTATTTTTAAATTAGAATTGGAATTCAACTTTAATAATATATATTCATATTTAATATAAATCTGCGTATTATTGAATTCCAATTATGATAGAAAAACATTATCAACATTAGTAGAATTCCAATTGTGATAGAAAACAGTACTAACATTACTAAGTATTGTGCCTTACTTTTATCCTTGAATAAAACATGCATGTTACTTTGAGATGAATCATGAAATGACAGAAACCAATAAGTAGTAAGAAAATTGGACCCTTATTAGTAGATTTTGTTTATAATTTAATTTACTCTCTCCAACTTCCTCAATCTGAAACAGCAAAGGATCACTGACATGGTTCCGATTGTCATGGATAAATGCTGAAACTGACCCACCAAAATTATTCTCTGACAGTACTCACCAGCCCAAATTATTTTTCCTTCGAATATACTTTCCTCTGCACATAATTTTTCAGGACACAAGTAAGAACTGAAAACGAGAGACAGCATCACTGTCAATTTCACAAACCCTCTGCTACTGTCACATTCTTGATTCTTGCTCCTCTCAAAAAGCTGAATCGTACGTACATAATTTTCCAATTACTACTCAATCACCAACAACAACACACACTGAATAACTGACAAAACCACACCAAACTTAACCGATTACTTAATTATAGTACCTACTTCCACAAGATCAAACATATGTATATATGCAATATTGCATGACAAATAAAAAATTCACTAACAATAATTACCTCATCGAGCATGGTGACAAGCTTGGACTTCTTCATCTGAAGTTCTTGCCTCTGAGCAGTGCTGAGTTCAACCACTTGTTTTCCTGCACTGTTTTCTCCTCCACCACTTGAACCGTCACCACCACCTGCCCCAGAATTTGTAGATTCTCTATTCGCTTTCTTCTCTGCGAATTTTTCCTCTTTGTAGATTCCCTTTCCCACGTTAACAACTTCTTCCAGAAGCTCCTGCGCGGATTTCAAATACTTCGACCCCAAAATAACTCCGGTCGACGCCGACGCCGACGCCGGAGAGTTTCCAATTCCGCCGACGAGGCCGTGGCCGGTGACGTCAATCTCGCCGGAAACCGTTCTATACGCCGTTTGCTGTGACGAGAGGCTGAGCGACAACCCCTGCTGACTCGGCCGCCGGAATCCGCCGCCGCCGGAGCTGCTCGAAGGCGTCGCCGGTTGATCAGCCACCGAGCCCCACAGGTTATACTGAACGCGAGGGGCGGCGGAGAAGCCGTGGAAGGCGGCGATATTTTCCCCGAACAGCGACGGTCGCGTGTGGTCCTCTGAGCTGGCGGATCCGAGGATGTTGGTGACGCCGTGAATCACGTGGTGCTGCTGTTGCTGACTAGGCGACACTGGCGGCGCGTGGGGGAGACTCGCGTGTCCGAGCGCGTTGGGATTGACGAGGAGCGTTGGGTGGTGCGGCGCGTCGGGGTAGGGCACGTAACTCGGGTTCATAAGGTAAAGCGTTTGCAAGCCATCCGCAGAAGGTTGAATTTCAGAAGCGCTTCCATGAAAGTACGTCGCCATGTTTCGTTCTTCTTCTCTCAGTGACACTACGGAACAAAATTACACAAACAACAACTTTCTATTATTAGGATCTCTCCCTACATATATATATATATATA